CAATACGTTATTATTACTATTATTATTTAATACATTTTTTATTTTCTCTAGTGTTACTCGCACGAAATTTGTCACACGCACACATACACACACACGGGCGTGCACGTACACGCACACACACTACACTACGGGGCCAATGATAAGAAACGGTTGAGGCCATGACGTTTAACGCACAGGCGAGGAAAAAAAAATAAACATAAAAAACACGTATAGCAGAGTTCCCCCACCACGGCCATCACTGGCCAAGCGCCATCTACCGAACGATCGCCACCCCTTGAATGTAATGACTTTTCCCGCGTCAAAACAGCTTTGACGATTATGTTTGAAGACAATGGCCATAGGCGTGCTTGCATGTGGTGCCGGGTGTGCCCGGGCACCCCAAGAAATTTTGTAATTGGGGCCCTTAAGTCCCAGAGCAAAGAACCAATATTTAGACTGATGTTCTTAAAATAAAATATAACTTTTTCTAAAATATATAGTAAATAAAATTAAAGGTTTGTAATAAAATAAAAATAAACCGTAAATATATTTTAAGAAATAAATATTCGATTCAAGGAATAATATTTCTTTGGGGACTAATATAGTTGTGATATAAATATATAATTCCATGCAATTAGATTCGATTAAAGACCATTATTATTTGAGCCAAGGAGTTATTTTTAAATTTTAAGTGTTGTGGAAAATAAACACGGTGAGTTGCATATGTTATATCTAAGTATAATTATAGACGTAGAATATAAAACTATTATCTGTTGACTGTTTACTATTATATTATTTACGAATTATCTGTTACTGTTATTCTACAACGAACACTGAACGTGCACGTATACGTAACTATGTTTATCATTTTACCTGTTACTAGTTGTTCCTGTGAACGGGTATTCTTAAAAAGTAAATATTGTTAAAAGTAAATTAAAAAGTACCATGGCCCAAGACCATTAGGAATCATTAATTCTACTGTTCACAGAACAAGAAATAGCTTCTAATGTTGATGTAGATTGAGTCATTAATGAGTTCAATAACTTAAGTAAGAGGCGTATGTTATTAATAATAACTTATTATTAATCAGTAATTTTTGTATTTGAATAATATATTATAAAATTAAATTAATGTTTATTCTTACATTTTAATTTATTAAATGTCCTTCAGAGCGGGCCTAAATTAAAATAAGGGCCCAAAAATATTATAGGCACCCCCTGAAACTTATGTCTGCGCACGAATATGGCAACGGCGTACCCAAGGGGGGTTTCGGGTCCCCCCAATTGAAATTTCTAAATACTCAACGGTTTAGTAGTAAATAGTATAATAATAGTATATAGTGTATATTAATTTCCCATTATCTTCAATATACAAAGTTTATAGATTATATAATACACCTATAAAGTATAAAACATACTATAGCATATTAACAGTAATTTTTTGGTATTGAGTTAAGCTATAACTATAATTAGAGAACAAATAAAATAAAAATGTTGGATCCCCCCCCCCATAAAAAATTCCTGGGTACACTCCAGTTTTATGGTAAACGGAAGAAAACAGTGATACACCCAAAAGGGTTTAGCTGCAACTCCTCTACTCAGGAGCGGATGAATCATAGCCCATAAGGTAGTTTAATAGGTATTTGCTAGGTAGCAAATACTAAAAATATATAATAATGGTAGATTGGAGATATTGGTTAGTGTATCTACTCTGTGTTTCCTAGTATAAAACCAAAACGTCCTAAGTGGATATTAGCAATGTCATATAAAAGTTATCTATATGATGGGCGGTAAGTATCAGTGTGAGCTTGCTACCTCTGTTTAAATTTCATTATGCCCCACTAGAGGAAAACATTGGTATATAGGGAATGCAAAAAGTGTATTCTTCTATAGGTTTATATTATTATATTTAGTAATATAATAATAATAGAATAAATAATATAGATGTCCTTGGACAAACATAAGTATACAATGTCATGCTCCAATATTTTTATTAAATTTAAACTATACACCAAATTTCCAGGTACTTCAATGATATTTAAACGTATAATCCGTATTTTTGTCCATTCAACAGCCATTGATTAAATAATCATAAGCATGGTTTTTCAACATGAAATAATATTTCGTTCTATTGTAACAGGAATACTATAAAATAAACAAAATGTTTAAAAAATGTATGAGTAAGAAAACATACATGCAAAACCAATACAATTCTTCCAAGTGTCCATATTTAAAAAATATATTATTCGTTTTAAGTATTTCAGTAAAAATGCATTTTTATTTTTCCCTTTTCAGAAGTCTTGAAATTGCTACAGTTGAAAATTAAAAAACAATGATGTGTTTAATAAAAGATAATTTTAAATTTACAAGTGTTATGTATTATATAGAAATTAAACTATATCATTTTTGGCAATGTATAATAATAATAACAAATAATAAATACTTTAAAATATAGCCCAGAATGGTTGTATAAAATGTGCCATTAACTAATTAATTCAAAGCCCTGTCAGTATTTGATAATTAAATAAATGAAATTTACCATAGATTAGAAAGATTATGGGGGTTGATATTCTTTTTAGTTTAAATAAAATATATGATAAAAATTACTATACAGATATACAACATAAATTACCTAACTTATAATATATTACTATCTTGTTTAAATAATATAACTTGTTAATAAGTGTTCATTTTAAAAACATTTTAAAACCATAAAATAATATTCTAAAGACTATATTATATTTTAGGATCTATAGCTATAGTTCAATGTTTCTTTTAAAGTTATTTAATAAAATAATTCTTAGATAACCTAAATAATTATTATATATTATGTTTTATTGTATTTATAAACATACATTTGTACAATGTAAAAAATTAAAAATAAATTGTTTCTCTTCTCAATTACAATTTATTAAAAAATAATCATTTATAATTCAAGCATTACATTAAAAAGTTTAATTGTACTGTTGAAAATATAATTTTGAATATTATTAAAAGTAATTTATTTAATATTAAGTTTATGGTTCATTAATTACTATCATACATGGTTTGATTTATTTCTATAAAAACAATACACTGATATTAATATACTTTGATAAAAAAAAAATAATATCAAAAATAAGAAATAATATTATATTAATTAATTCATACAGAAGAAATGATATAATTACAGATGTATCCAAATTGTAATACTATCTTAAACTTACTTACTCATTAAATATTTATTATTATTTCATTAACACAGAATAATGGAATTTATAATCTTATTAATCAAGACCTTCTTTCTTCTCTCTTAAAGCTTCCTAAAATACAAAGTAAATATTATTCATATCAAATTATTATCAAATAGTGGTTTTAAATATTAATAAAATGACACTATATATTGTTGTTTAAAATTAAACATGTAATTTTCCAAAATTAATGCAGATTATAATTTAATATACATATTTTTAAATATATAGTAAGGAAAATATAAATATTATTAATCTAAATAAATGGGTTATAGTAAAATAATTACCAATTCGATCAACTTTACGAAATTTAAAAAATGTCTCACAAAATTCGCTATTAAAAAAAAAAATAAGGTCGACAACTAAAGGTAGTAACTATGGAGATAATTTTAGATGTATGTAAGCTCCATTTAGCTTTTTCCATTATTTAAACAAATCAATACAGCGTATAAAATCAGAATTCATAGTGATATTTAGTAAACATACAATACATGGAGTATTAAAATCTAACATGAAATCAAATGAAAATTAATAAAAAAATAATATTGATAAATAATTATTAGGTTAAACATTTTTAAACTTTAGCCATAAAATTCATAATTATATAAAGTTAAATGATTCACAAAAATAGCGGTACTGAAAAAAAAAATCCAAATCATTTGAAGATAAATCAAATATTTAAAATGTTTATGTTTCTTTTTTCTTTTTTTTTTTTTTTAATTGATTCTTAAGACCAGCAACTATGGCCATTATCTATTAGTGGAATTATTATGGATTTTTTGGTAATGTCTTGGAATGATAGGTTTGTAATACAGGAGTGTTTGTGCTTTGGCAGAGTTCGAATGGGCACCCATAGATTTCTGCCGTGACCGGTTGGGGATGGCGGCCTCTCTCTCCAGACAGTTGTTTACCCAGAGAGAAGTACCGCCCATGACCGAGGTTCAAACCGGTGACGGTAGGCATTACAGCCGATGCTTTAGTTCGCTCGGACACTTCACGTACTTCTTTTTATGTTTCCTTTTTACTCAATAAATATTTATTTAATACTAAAACTCTGGGTATATGAGATATTATTTACAAATAATTTAATAAAACAATACCTTGAAACGCTCTTCGAACAAAGAGAGTTCAGCCAAGAGATCGGTTATGGAATTGGTTAAAGCATCTTGTGGCGTATAATCAGAAGTCGTTTGTATACGAAGTTCAAATTTGTGCTCCAAAGGATGTGGCTGTTTGTACCCAGCAAAAAGAACATTAGGGTCTTTAAGTAATTGACTAGATTGATAAACAACAATTATAAATAACAATAACTGTACAGTTTTAATATTATTACTAACTTCCTAATCATATTTCCTAATGTATGATCTTCTTTGTTAACTGTAAATATTGCTGCATTCGTGACTTTTGTATCTACTTCTTTGATAATTCTGAAATTAAAATATGTTTTTAAATTACTCTCACCAAAAACTGACAAAAAAATACTCACTTTTTTTCACCGTCGTACAATAAAAACGACTCGAATGTTGGAGGTGCGTTCATTTTGATGAGTTAAATATTTAACTTGGACCTATTAAATCATAAAATATGCACATATAAGTAAAGAAAAACATCTGAAACAAACAATTTTTACCTACTAAAGCGTCGACTCGGCGGTTCGGCAGCACAACCTTATCTGTAATGTTTATTGTTTATGCATGACTTACGGCTTATCAAAACTGTTATCATTATAGTTTGCAATCCATTACGAAATTTTGATTAGGAATTCTGAATTACTCTTAGGAATATACCATAACTGAATATTGCCAGAACAATTACAAAAATATACCAAAATTATACCACATATCAACTAAAAATTTTCATAAGGCAATTTTTGTTTTTTGTTTACGTAAAAAATTATTATAGTATTGGATGTTGTCTGTTACTCCTTTGTGTTGTTATCACGAACATTAGTTATGAAAAAAATTGTTCCCTTATAAAATGATTTTTTCCGGTTAAGTTGAATATAAGTGACATTAAATAAATATAAATTCGCTAAACACATTAAAATCATAGAACATTTTAAAGTAGTGATGGCAGGGCTTATTCTAAAGCGAAGTAGGGCTTATTTTACATATTTGGAAAAGATAGATGCGCACTTGATAATAAATTTTGCATAATTAACTTTTAATTCAATGTTGTTTAGTGTTACTTTATACTTTACATTATGATTTATAAACAAAATAAAAAGGAAATTTCTTAAAAAATATTAAAAGAAATACCTTGAAAACGAATGTAAATTGTTTTATATCTTTTAAATACATTACATTTTAAATTATTTCACGTAGAAGCTACACATTTTATCATTTTTAACTATAATTTGGCAGTATATTTTGAGATCATAGTTCTATTTTTATTGGCTTATTTAAACAAAATACGTAATTGATAAAAATCCGTAGAATAATCCCTGAGTAATGGCGTGGAGTTATTTTTCTACAAAATATTAGCATTTTGAAGATGGGATAGGTACATCATATGTCTGTAAAATGATATAAGGTATGTATGAAATTGTTATAATGTATAATATTTGTAAAATAAATAAGTAAAAAGAAATTATTTTAATAATATGTACATAGATAAAGCGATTTCCAGTATCAACATCGGCATATTGCTTGATATTATACGATCAAATTATAACTTATATATCCCTTTGAAAGGTAAGTAAGAACTTTGTATAATATTTTTATTAAATAAATAGAAAATGTTTTTTTAGTATTTAATATTGTTTTTCTTTTTTTATTTCACACATCAAATAGTTATAAAATTAAGGAAATCATAGTTAAGTTATAGAATAATTTTTTACATTTACCATTTTAAAAATAAAATAGTTATGTACATGTTTAAATTATTTGAAAATATTTTCAATTTTTTGATATATTTCCCTTTTACGTGGCGGTGAGTTTGACCTACTGTGTTAAACATGGTTGGTTGGTCGGAATACGTTAGGCGTACATCATTTTGGTCGACTGCATGAATATTTATCGGTGTCGACATCGGTGTGTAGTTCGGTGGTAACGTCGGTGAATAACTCGATGGACACGGCTCTATGATTGTTAGAACCCCTTTATCCTGATCGCATAATTTAATTTTCATCATACACGATCAGTCACCTGCTTTTTTATTTGCTTACATTTTTAATCGCCATTACGCAACGGTTATACTTAACCGGGATTGGTGAAATCCTGATTCTCTGGTTATCAATGTTAATGATTAAGTTGAGTTAACCGCGATTAACAGTATTGGAGAAATCAGCCCTTAGTTGCACACAACTCGAACTGACTTACAAAATTGCATGTAGTTTCCGGGATTTAATTTAAAGTCGCTTCATAATTGATATTTCGGATAATAGTAATTATATCACCAAGAAGTTGTTCTCATTTAAAATGGTTTATGAAGTAATCGCATTTTTGGTCAAACTGTTACAACACCGTATGCCGTACGAACGAGGATTTGGGTACAATACTCTCGAATATACACCATTTCAAATATTGTAGTTATAAGATCGAAAATGTTATGCAATACACGGCAACAGTCATGATTTGTATCTTATATCACCAACACATTCATCTCTCGGTATACAATATTAGAGTCCAATACAATACTAATTAATTTGCGAGTACCGAAGCCGACTGTTAATGTAGTTGCATTTATGAGGCTGCTACTCGATGATGCAGGTGCGACATACTTAAACTACTTTCTAATTAAAAATATGACAATTTATTACTGCAGTGTATATAATATAGAAATTATATCGGAATATGTATCGTTATTGACGTGATGTTAAATCAATTGTTCAATATAATTTAATATCAGTATTTATGTATTTATTAGTATTAGTATTTATTTTGTAATATCAGCAAACAATGCTGCAAATCGAATACGCCGTGCTGCAAGCCAAGTACATCTTGCCGCAATCCAAGTACACCATGCTGTCAATCTATCAAATATAAATCAATATAAATATAAATCAAATCTATCAAATACACTTGTAACACAATCACGTGCACCTGCAAATCCAGTTTGTGCACCTGTAAGCCCAGTCTACCGTGCTGCAAGCCAAGTACGCCGAGCTGCAAACCGAGTAAGCCGAGCTGCAATTCAATCAAATGCACTTGCAAGACGAGCCTGTGTACTTGTAAAATGAGCACGTGCACCTGCAAAACGAGCTCATGCACCTATAAGCCCAGTCCAACGTGCTGCAAGCCGAGTACGCAGAGTTGTAATTCAATCAAATGCATTTGCAAGACGAGTCCGTGTACTTGCAAGACGAGCACGTGCACCTGCAAAACGAGCTCGTGCACTTGCAAGACTAGTACGTGCACCTGTAAGCTAAGCCCACCTTGCTGCAAGCCAAGTAT